TATCAAAGTGTGGTTTTTGTTTTAACCTTAATATGTTAGAGCAAAGATAATTGAAATTGAGACTTCCACCAGTCAAACATTTCGTATTAAAATTATTTTATTTCCAAACCCAATAGGGGTTGTTGTAAGTTCAACGATTCATAAGAAATGACCGGATGCCAGGCACAGATAATCTCTTTAAAAACTGAAAACAAATCAGTTATTGGTCGCGTTAACCATTTAGACCTTTTGTATGTCAAAGCTGTATTCTCAATAGAATTGGAAATGCAAAACATGTAGGTATTTCTCATATTTCAATCTCGAGCTCACTCAATATCCAACATATTGAATCAGTATTCTTATCTGTCGTATTAGATTTGTATAATACTGTAAGCAATTCTTCGAAATGAAAAATCATAATAATAATGCTGGAACTGGATACAATTCATACTGTTGAAAAAATATTTTCAATATTGCACTTACAAATAGAAGTTACAGTAAGGGACTACAAAACAGTTTTAGATAAAAGGAACAGAAGTAACAATGCTGAGTTGGATGGTCGGTGTTTTGAAAGTCAACGTCAAGAAAACAAGTTCCATCAATGATCAGAATGCAAGTTTAGGAACTTATTATTGCAACCTGAGTAGCGAAAACAAGGAAGTAGTAAACATTTTGAAGTATGTAATAGATTATGTATAATATTTGGCATTTTAGCAACTTCGGATTTTGTACTTAACAATCAGTCGGTTAATTCTTGTATGTTAGTATAGTATCTTTTCAGCAAAGCTATAGTCGATTTATATCGGCTTGAATCAAAATCAAGGCAAATTAAAATATAATATGACTTGAACCGTAATAATTAACATGACGTTTATATGACAAAAGTACAAACGCTATTCAGGACAAATCTCTTATAATATATTTTAAGTAAATGACATTAATAGGTGAAGTACAAACATACGAAATTTCTATAACTTATTTGACACTAAAGTCTCGTCTGCCCTGATTGAAAAGTAATGCATTTTTCCACACAAATACTTTGTCTCATAGGCGTTCTAAATAGTAATATGGGCTGTTAAACGTTACGTTACAATAGAAAGGAAGACAAATGAGGTTGTTCAGGCGGTTTGAGGAATCGCTAAAGAGCACGCGAGTGGTAGGAAAGTTCTGCTTGTCTGGTAGAAAGAAGTGTTAGGGTTTGAATGTACATTAGTACGAAAATATTATGTTGAATATTGGTTTTGTTATGTGTGTTTTTATACTGTTAGCATATTATTTATGTTTGCAGAGAAGGAACGACCGAAACGCTGGACCAGTAAAAAAAACCATCCATTTATGACATTTTTCAGTTCTATCTTGAGTCATAACACTGCGGAGCGAACTGGTTTAGTGGTAAGAGCACGGTCCATGAGGTCCCGGGTTCAAATCCTGCCAAATCACCAATGGATTTTATATAAGTTATAATGCCGCAACACCTAGGTCTAGCCCGAAGTACAATCCCGGGCTCGTGCCTAGCGTCCTAGGACAAAAAAACCTTGATTCATAACACTTGAAGTTATATTTATATTTTCGTAAAGTGCATTTAAATAGCTATCAAAAGTTGAATGGTCAATCTTTTAAACAATTAAGTATGAAATATAACAGTTTACAAATTAGTCCATTCCGACTAACCTAAATTGAGTAATCCTACAAATAAGATTTATTTTATTTTAATATGTTATGGAAATTCACAACTAGATAAAAATAACTATAAAATGTATCGACAGGACTGTAGTTTAGCACTGAAACTGGCCGATTTTACACTCGCGCCTCATCCTACTGCTCTATCTCATCTCTTGACATATCACATGATATGTGATAATAGACCGACAAATCAATTTAAATAATAGACTTGTCGGTCACTTGTAACGTATGAGGAAACGGACCTGCAATCAACATGCCTCACATGGGCTTGTGACATAAATTTTTAGACTACATGTCAAGGTTCCTTATAAAATTGGGTATTGACAGTATTATAACGTATTATTGGGTATTATAACAGTATGAACACAAATTGGTTTAATAAGCTTACAAGAACATTGACGTAAAAATAAGTTTATACTGCTGTATAAAATACATCAAGTCGATTTAATGTATTTTAAAGTAATCTTTCATTCTATCTACCGACCTGTTCTACATATGCCTAAAAACATATCAAGTACTAAAGTTGTCTGTTCCTTGTTAATAATATTTTATAATTTATTAAAAGTTTCATACCTTCCGCATACTTATTTAGCAATAATATCCCGGAAGACCAATGACGATTTAAACAAATTCCTTTTAAAATCTGTTATATTGATCTGAAGAATGAACATAAAAATACGGAATGTCATTAAAGTTTCTAATAAAGATCAATCAAATCGTAACTTTTCACAGTTTGTACACTCTTTACAGTTAACTCGCCACCATTTTACCTCACGTAGAATCTACATTGTTTATTAAAAATACTATTTTTGGTATTTTTGGTTATATTTTGGTTAAACTGCAACGAGAGCAAGAGACCAGACGCTCAATCTGTCATGGATAACAATTGCAAATCCTAAAAACTTGAAAAGGCGAGACTTTCAAGCTAGAATGAATGTGAGCTATGAATCAGTGTCAGCTTATGAATCAGTGTTTATGTGTAATAGCTAATTTAAACTATCGAAATTTGCAAAAAGAAAAACAGGTTTTTAAAGTTAAAGTTGTTTTAATTAAGTTGTTTACAGTCATAATTCAATTCTGCAATTAGTTCCTTAAATATTGTAACATAATTTGTTAGGTAAGAAAGAAAAACGTATTTTTAAATTGTATGGAAAATCAAAATACAGATATAAGAAGACTTGGTCCTATTGCCCTGGAGAAAAGCTTGACTGATGTTGACTCAATAGAATAAACGAACACCTTCAAAATATTTTGAGAGATCCAATATGTTTCTGCAATGTTGAATGTATTTACTTTTGGTTTTAAGATAATATATACGTGGCCTATGATATATTAAATTAAATAGTTTCATAATTTAATTGAATAGAATTCAACTTGATTTATAATATAACAAATAATTGAATAATAAACATGGCTTAGTTCAAAGAGTGTTGTATTGGAACTACATTTAAACTAAATACAATAGTCATAATGTAGGCTTTGTTCACCAATAAACAAAACTAATTTTTTAATAAGCAAACATTGAGATAAGAGCATTGAAACGTAGACACTACGTGTATGTATAAAATTAAACTGGGAATAGAAAACAAAACAACTAGATAATTGAAACGAAGTTTATTATAAAATAAATGCAGTTAGCTTATTAACAATAAAAAATTACAATCAAAACAACTAAAAAATAAAATTCAATAAATACATTAGCCACGATTAAGTTTGCAAAATATATACAGTTAGCTTATTTACAATTAAAAATATATATGTAAAATAAAAACAACAACTGATGAATACAAGTCGATACATATAGGAAGGACAAGGAATACAACTCCAATAAATACATTTGCATCACGGATGGGTTCGCAAGTCACGACTTAAATTATACAGAACATATTAAAAACAAAAAGGCGAATTATTCAATAATACCTTCACCTGTTAGATATGTATCAATTATAATTTTAGAAGTCAAGCCTTGAGAAACATATGAAATATATATAGATAATAAATTTGATTTACAATACAAAAAATACAAATATATGGTTTAAAATAAAAAGAGATTTTGCGATATACAAATAAGTAAAGGTCACGCATTAACTCTAGAGATGAACATACTTTTATTTTGAACATTACTTTTGTTATGAACATTGGAACAAAACAACTTGTCGTAGAAGCGGAAGCTATGGGAATGAAGAAAAAAGTCAAGGAGGAACGAAAATATAAAGACGTGCAAACAGTTCTTGACCTCGCATTGGAAACAATCCCACTCAGCTGCGAAGAGAATGAAAATGAAATTAAACATGCCGTGGAAAAAGTTATCGGAAAGAATAAAAAAAAAAAACGTAAACTTAAAGAAGATCGTCCAGTTGTTGATATCGTGCTGGAAACAGTCCTACGCAGATGCGATGAGAATGGAATGGAAATAAGAGACGTCGTGGGTGATGAAATTGTGAGAAAGGAGAAAATGGGCAAGTTAACAAAAAAACTTAAATACGATCAAACAGTTGAACAGTCCGCATTGGAAACAGTCCTACCCAGATGCGATGAGAATGGAATGGAAATAAGAGACGTCGTGGGTGATGAAATTGTGCGAAAGGAGAAAATGGGCAAGTTGACAAAAAAACGTAAATACGATCAACCAGTTGAACAGTCCGCATTGGAAACAGTCCTACCCAGATGCGATGAGAATGGAATGGAAATAAGAGACGTCGTGGGTGATGAAACTGTGAGAAAGGAGAAAATTGGCAAGTTGACAAAAAAACGTAAATACGATCAAACAGTTGGACAGTCCGCATTGGAAACAGTCCTACCCAGATGCGATGAGAATGGAATGGAAATAAGAGACGTCGTGGGTGATGAAACTGTGAGAAAGGAGAAAATGGGCAAGTTGACAAAAAAACGTAAATACGATCAACCAGTTGAACAGTCCGCATTGGAAACAGTCCTACCCAGATGCGATGAGAATGGAATGGAAATAAGAGACGTCGTGGGTGATGAAACTGTGAGAAAGGAGAAAATGGGCAAGTTGACAAAAAAACGTAAATACGATCAAACAGTTGGACAGTCCGCATTGGAAACAGTCCTACCCAGATGCGATGAGAATGGAATGGAAATAAGAGACGTCGTGGGTGATGAAACTGTGAGAAAGGAGAAAATGGGCAAGTTTACCGTAAATACGATCAACCAGTTGAACAGTCCGCATTGGAAACAGTCCTACCCAGATGCGATGAGAATGGAATGGAAATAAGAGACGTCGTGGGTGATGAAAATTGTGAGAAAGGAGAAAAAGGTCGAGTTGACACATAAACGTAAAGACGATCAACCAGCTGACATCCTACCCAGTTGCGATGAAAAAAAAAATAGAAATAAAACACGTCGAGCAGGAAGAAGCTACGGAGGAGGGTCAAAACAAGATACCGGTGAATGAAACAAACAAATACCAGACTTGTCCAGTTGACAGTTCCATACAGAAATCGCCAATTAAAGTTAAGTGCGAGCCTGGGTTCGCTAAGATCGTCCCTCTGAACATAAAACCCAAGGTGTTAAAAAATAAAAATACAAAAAATGTTAAAAGGGTGTCTTTTAGTATCCCTGATTCAAATAAAAAATTTACAAAACTCCCGATAACAAGGACGAAAACTAAGGAGGGTTCCAAACCGAAACGCAATATGCTCGATACAATTACAAGAATGTTGTTGGAGAAGGAGCTAAAAGAACGGCCAACCAAAAATACAGATTTTCCCACGGTAGTCTCAAAACTATCTCCCTTCACGGCTGCAAAGCTTTCCATTAAAAACATGATGAATGAAACTCGAGACGAGAAGTGGAAAATTCTCCCTCCGATGTAGTCCCGCCGTCTCCTTCCTGTGATGAGCGTTCCGTCGAAACCACATTGAACGAAACTCAACACGAAGTGGATAATTCGCCATCCGAAGTATCCACACAATCACCCTGCAGTGAAGCGATCTACGGTAACAGAAATGAAAGAAAATCGAGTTAAAGGGAAAGTTCCACCCTCCGAAGTAGTATCCACACCGTCCAGTGATAAGAGTTCGGCTATCGAAACCTAATCGAATGAACCTCAAAATGAAGTAGTGAATGAAGTAATGAATTCTCCCTCTAGAGTCTCCCCCAGCAGTGAACATCTAGCCATGGAAACCGAATTAAATGAACCTCAACAGGAAGTGGAAACTTCTCACTCCGAAGTTTCCTTCAGCATTGAACAGCAATCTGTTGTAACAGAATCGGAGAAAAATCTAATTGAAATGAAAAATCCGCCCTCAGAAGTCTCCACCTCGTCTCCCACCCGTGAAACACTTTCCATTGAAACCGAATAAAAACAAAATCTACCGGAAGTGAACCACCCTCCGTCCGACGTCTCCAAATTACTTACCTCCCATGAAAACCTCGACAGTGATAAGGAAGACAACCGCCCAACACGTTTAACAGTGCAAGCAGAAGTTCACGTCGACGCGGAACCGCTTCTGGAAGAGATTCAACCGTGTTGAACAGCCGCTGTTTCCAAATAAACAGGTCAAAGCCCAGACGTGGCAGCCACCGAGTGTTCCCGGAGAAGAGAGTGACCTTTTTGGCAGTGATGATACATTCACCGACAAGACCAACGTGCCGGCTCCTCGGACAACGACTCGCAGGAGTGGAGCAGCGACGGGTCGAGTAAGAGGGGTCTAGAGACGGAGACTGCATCCCGTTCAGGGAAACCTGCAAGAAACACACTTAAAGGGAGTAGAGGCCGGGGCCGAGGTGTGGGTCATGGGCGTGTGTCCACCTGTAAGGTACTGGGGGAAGTGGATTGCAAGACGGGGGCACTGAAACCGTGTCCTTACTGCTGTGTCCGAAGGAGATCCCATTTGAAAAAAAAACACTTCATGGCGATGCACAGACACGAGGTGGGAAACAGCGTCGCTAATACGTTTGCGTGTACTAATATTGCCGTTAACGAATGTTACAGGAAACAACTGCTGGTGGGACTTAACAGGTGTTCCATCCAAGTCATACCGGAGGGCACACCTTACAAGGACATCATGGACCCGAATATGCGAGGGTTTCCAGAGGCGGAGATGGAGAGCAGCGCTGACGAAAGCGACCCGGAAGATACCCTTTGGACACCTCAACATCGGTAGGTGGGAGTTTTAGTTTGAACAACAAATTTACCAACTACTGTATATAATACGTTTCAATATTTCGCATTAATAGCCAGTATTTCGCAATTCAGTCTCCAGGCCCGTCTTCGTCCTCGACTCAAGGGCCGTCTCCAGCGATTCCAACGACTCCGAATGAAGCTCAGACCAGGACTCTGCCCACCACTAAGAAGAGACTGCCAACTCCTGCGACTCCCAAAATGTCCACCAAAAAGTCGACGTCCACAATCAGTCCACAACCGACGACCGGTGTGATCGATGACGAGGCCGTAGAACCACCACAGATTACTTTCAACAAGCCACAAAAACCCGCCAGAGAGGCTTTGAAAGCTGCCGGATTGGATGAAACTGGGGTTTTCAACAATCAGCACTATTTCATCGACTACCTGCACAGAAAATGGTCGGCATTGAGGAACACTCGTGTAAGAACTACAAGTACCACATGTTTTGAATTTAAAGTAGATAGTACCATAGGCCAGAGTCTATTGAAAATTTACATAAGAAGCTAATAAATTTATTGAGAAATCATTTGTTCATATGCCAATAATTGAAACACGTAATAATTGTTATTCCCAACGCAAAGCGTCTTTAATACGTTGATACGCAGTCTTTAAAGTAGTTATATCCTAATTGTGTTTCAGTACAGCTTCGAAAGGACCCCGAGTCGGGAGCCGTCTTCACTCAGGCATCCAACAACGACGCCTACTGCGAGGAAGACTTGAAACTCGACTCCGATTCAGTCTCCAAGCCCGTCTCCGGCATCGACTCCAGGCCCGTCTCCGGCATCGACTCCAGGCCCGTCTCCAGCCTCGACACCAGGCCCGTCCCCAGCCTCGACTCAAGGGCCGTCTCCAGCACCGACTCCAGACCCGTCTCCAGTGATTCCGACGACTCCGAGCGAAGCTCAGACAAGAACTCTGCCCACCACTAAGAAGAGACTGCCAACTCCGGCGACCCCCAAGCTTTCCACCGAAAAGTCGACGTCCACAATCAGTCCACAACCGACGACCGGTGTGATCGACAGCGAGGCCGAAGATCCGAAACAGATTACTTTCAACAAGCCACAAACACCCGCCAGAGAGGCTTTGAAAGCTGCCGAATTGGATTACACTGGGGTTTTAAACGATCAGCACTATTTCATCGACTACCTGCACAGAAAATGGTCGGCATTGACAGGAGAAGAGGGTCGCAAGAGGTACCTGTTAAACACAGTCAGGCAGATCAAAAGAACCCTGAACTTCGCTCACAAAAACGGGAACCATCACCTAGTCGATCCCCAAGGTCTGCAGTGGAGGGAATACCTTAAGGACATCGACTCGCACATCGAGTTTTGGAATCAGTTGAAAAGCAAAGCGGGATTCAGTGCGGAGACGGTGAAAAACTACATCAGAACGTTGGAAAAGGCGCTGGACAGTGCTATCGAAGAGGTCCTGACTAGGGGAGGAGAGATGACGGAGAGTGACCAAAGATTCCAACAGATTGTTAAAGGAGTGAAAATCTCCCTAAAGGCTTACAAAAAGCGGAACAGCCGGGAAATATCTAAAGAAGTCGTACCTCGTAAGTACAAGCGAGATACGTCGTTCTTTCAGGAGCTCGATGACGTCCAAAAATACCTGAAAGCCGTTATCGATCACACCTATAGCCAAACTGAGGAAGTGGAGAAGGACCTTGAAGTTCTAGAAACCACGGTCAGAGAACACGGCACGCTGTCCACCAAAGTTGTCAAGTACCTGAAGACTGACGGCACCCAGGCCGTACTTCCACAGAGCAGACGAATAAGGGAAAGCATGGTTGCGCGTGACATACCACCTTGCGACAATAGTGTTGGTGGCCAACGGTCACAGACCCGGCGTGATTGTTGGCATGACGCTCGCCAAATTCGACTCAGCGGTTGAAGACAAGGCCGAAGGGTTCCTGACATTCTCAGTAAAGGACCACAAAACCAACACGGTGACGCTCGCAGACGTGGCGATTCCGATCGAGATGCTGCCGCTGTTCCAAATATACAGAAAACTGAGGCGTTCCCTTGTAAACGATCGAACGAGAAACGGAAATTTCTTTACCAACTCCGAGGGAAACGAGTTGAAGGGCGCCCAGGAAGCGCTGACATCCATAAACAGAAAGCTAAGATAGTCCGGAATGGAATCAATGTCAATGAACAAACTGAGGATGTGCTACTCGACGGTGGCTGGAAGTCGCAAGGACGAAGAAGTTCGCAAGAGGGTGGCCCGGCAGTTGTGCCATACCGAAGCGACCGCTGCCAAGGTGTACAGGCACGCACACTCAAGAAGGGCTATCGACCAGTACAAAACCCTCCAGTCACTTACCGTGGATGGAGGGGATAGCAGAGTAGAGGGAAATTCTGGAGACGTCCAGGAAGAACCCAACCCGTGGCATGAGGATCCGACCAATCTTACAACAGATGAAAAATGCCTGCTTTTTAACAAAATAGCTCTAATCACTGGTTTCAATTGCTTCAATTACAACCAAAACTAGTTTCAGTACAACGTTGTCAACGACACTATCAGAGAGTACGACTTCAAAATCGATCCTGAAGAACTGCCAAAGTTTTACGAATTGGCGGAAAGATATTTCAAGAGCTACAAGCAGGGGATGAGGAGGGAACATTTGATTTAAGGAGTCGGTTTCAAACTGTATATCGAATATAATTTATAACGTACATTGTTTATTCAATTCGTAGTTCCAATACCACATGCCTTGAATTAAACTCTATTTGAATTTGAGTTCCGATTCGGGGTTTAACTATAGTAATAAATCCATTCAGTTCAATTACATTTGAATACTTGTCGCTGTAACCGTGGGAACAATCCGCATCTGAACTCAAGTTCATATGAATTTGAAGGAAAGGTAAGTGCAATTTGAACTGTATTTAAAGTTCAACTGTTATTCAAACATTTTACACCCGTAGTTGTTAAACGTGATCTGAATTCAGGGCAAATTTCTAAATGAAAATTAAATACGTTTGGGGGTACTAATATTGCCATTCACGAATGTTACAGGAAACAACTGCTGGTGGGACTTGACAGGTGTTCCATCCAAGTCATACCGGAGGGCACACCTTTTAAGGACATCATCGACCCGAATATGCGAGGGTTTCCAGAGGCGGAGATCGAGAGCAGCGCTGACGAAAGCGACCCGTAAGATAGCATTTTGGACACCTCAACATCGGTAGGTGGGGGTTTTATTTTGAAAAACAAATTTACCAACTACTGTAAATAATACACGTTTCAGTATTTTGCATTGTGTCAACAGGGCATATGTCGCTGTTCCAAAGATACCGAAAACTGAGGCGTTCTCTTGTAAACTAACGATCGAACGAGGAATGGAAATTTCTTTACCAACTCCGTAGTAAAGGAGTTGAAGAGCACCCGGGAAGTACTGACATTCATAAATAGAAAACTTTGAGTATTTTTATGTTGTTTTTTCTTGAATTATGAGTGGTTTTTACTTCAGGTGTATATCGCAACATTTCGTTGAATATTACTCCAAATAATGTTCATTGTTTGTTTTGCAAATAATAATCTAACACGTGGAAAGGGGATCCGACCAATCTCACATCAGAGGAAAAACCCCTTCTTTTAAACAAAAGAGTAGTCCTGTTTTTCAATGCGTTGTCTGCAACTGGTTGATCGTCTTTATATTTACGTTTTTTCTTCACTTCTTCATATTTCCCATAGCTTCATCTTCTATGACGTGTTGATTAATTTCAAATGCACTTCCATGACATATGGGTTGGATTTCTTCTGGATTTTCTTCTTATCGACAGCTGGTGACTCGTTATTATTATTTTTTTTTACTTCTTGACTTTTTTCTTCTTTGCAATCACTTCTTCTTCTACGGCATGTAACATTTCATTATTATTCTCTTCGCAGCAATTTAGTGGTACTGGTTCAAATGTGACGTCAAAGGTGACTTGTTTTTAGATTTTTTTTCTTCTCGACCATTTTTTTCATTCAAAATTGTTCTTCTTCCGAGGCGTTTTCAATTTCATATTCATTCTCTTCACAACTTTGTGGTACTGGTTCCAATCTGACGTCACCAGTTGGTGCCATGTCTTAAGATTGACTTAGAGTGACTTCTTTAGTGCTGGTTCCAATGCGACCTTAACAGTTGTTGTCTCGTCTTTATACTTTCGTTTCTTCTTTAATTTTATCCACAATCCCATAGCTTTTTCCTTCTCTTTCTTTTCTTCTTTTCTAAAACATTACATACAATCATGTTAATTCAACCACTGAATTTAAATTTTAAAAAATCTCACAATAGCCTATAAGACATCTGACATCAATCAAACTCTAACATTAAATAACCAATCGAGAATTATATTTAAAGGGTAATATTTACATTGAACACGATTAAAATATATTACAAATCATTATTATTAAATCGAATTGCCTAGTAAAAATATTTTTAGCCCGTTGGTATTTGATTGAATTTTAAATACAGTTTAAAATGCAGGTAATTTTACTTCTTAACTTAAGTTTAGACTCGGGTTGTTCCCACGGTTACAGCGACAAGTATTCCAATATAATTGAACCAAATGGATTTATAACCATGGGAAAACTCAGACTCGGAACTCGAATTCAAACAGAGTTGAATTCAAAGTGTGTTGTATTAGAATTACGAATTGAATAAACAATTAAAGTTATAAAACGCTGTCACGTTAGGTTCAAAGTCCGGGTTTTTAGTCCTTTTTAAATAAGTAAAGCTTTAAGCGATTTAAAAAAACCTAAGGTTTAATGTATAGTTTTGATATGTTAAACAAATAGTGAACAAGTGGAAAATGTATTCTAGGTTGTAGCATGGATGTTTAACAAATGTATTATAAAAAAACTATCAAAGGGCTATACCAGCTGTTGATCTACACCAATGTTAATTTATTACTTTACAATGTCTAACACATTTAAGTACTATAACTATCGTGCAATAGTTAATAATACTAAATTACAACCGACTGTTACAAACAACGTGTGTTCTGAATCATTAAGTATTAGCATTGCCCAAAAAATGACGAGAATCCATGGGCGACAGGATATTTAAAGATAAAATTATTATTTTCATCCTAGTGAATTGACAGGCTAAATATCACTGGACACTTCCCCCCCCCCCCCGATTAAACAAAGTTTATCTTACCATCTAAGCCAGTCATCAGTTTAACATCTTTGCCATAGTGGATTTTTAAATAACGACCCCGCCTTAGACATTTCTCTAACTTAACGTTGACTGCTTATGGCTGCAGGGCAGGAGTGAGGAGCTGGTGTGTCCTCGTTGACTGTTCGGAGAGAACTGATGCTACACTGACGGGCAGCTCTGTATTTATGCGTTTTCCCCGCCGGGGTCATTTCGGGCTCGAAACGAGTAATGCCCCCGGACAGAACAATGGATTTCTGGCCTTACCGGCCTTAGGAGTTGCCGGGGGCGTAAGCGACCGGCCTTCGGAGCTCCCGGGGGCATGAGCGACCGGCCTTCGGAGCTGCCGGGGGCATGGGCAACCGGCCTTCGGAGCTGCCGGGGGCATGAGTGACCGGCCTTCGGAGCTGCCGGGGGCATGGGCAACCGGCCTTCGGAGCCGACGGGGGCATGAACTGTCCGGTGTGTCGGTGACAGGCGGCTTTTGTATTTCTTTATACATCTATATTGTATTTGATATAGATTTAGTAACCATACAAACAACTTTGAATTCAAACCTGTTTGAATTTGAGTTCTAACTGGTGGTTTTCCTGTGAAAAACCCTGCATTCAGTTCAATCACATTTGAATTAATATATTACAATCGTGTGAATAACCCGCGTTTGAACTTGAGTTAATATGTATTTGAATTGTAGGCACATTAACTTTGAACTTGACTTGGATTGAAAAGGGAAATTTACAAAGGATGCAAATTTTCGTCTCTCAAATTTCGTAACGTCATATTCGTATTGTAATATTTATTTATCTGTATCTTTTGTGTGATTTTGCAATATAAAAAATGTAAAACATCGAATATGATATCATTTGACTTAATTGCGAAATAAAACTGTATATCCGATTTTATTAGTATTACAGTTAATAAAAACTTAAGTCTTCATATAATATTACACGTCAACAACTATATTGTAGGGGAGAGCTATACCGTACACACAAAGGGAGATTCGTAGTTACATCGCAAATTACGAAGTAAAAGTAATGTAAACACAATTAATATATAATTTAATAACTCAGCTACTGATTGTATTAAAACATTTTGGAACTACTGTATTGCATTTTTTACGTGTTTTTGACGAGTTGCAAGCTTTGAAAATTTTGTCTTCGCAACGAAAACTTAAACAATATCATTTATTTGACTATTTGACTGAGGTATGTCAAACACCTATTATTGTCTTAACAATATAGACCAGGGGCCGAAAACATGAATTTTGATTTATGAAAAAATAATAAAATTTCATCCCAAAATTAAAAGAAAGAAAAAAATTAGTCCACAAATGTAGTTCTCTGCAGACTCCGAGACTTTTTCCAGACGTGGGTAAGGGTGTTTTTGTATTTCTTTCGTCATGCTATTAGTTCAAGTAGTTGTTCGTTATTGTTTGATAGTTTTAGTGTTTTAGTTAGTTAGTGCTAGTGTAGTTGTTTGTAGTGTTTTTTTCATATACAATTAGTTAGTGTTGTGTTTGTCTGCGCATCATGATTAATCAGCAAATATATCACGTTTTTAGGCTAGGTCTAGTCACAGGCTAGTCTAGGCAAGGACCGGCCAGCGGTGATAATTGACCGGGGCGTGAACCGAGTAGTTCTCTGTAGTAGAATGTGATTCTCTGCAGACTCCGCAGCACTGCAAGTTAATAGACTACGATACAAGCTACTTCACTTACATTTATTTAGTTCTGGACGAAAATTAATTTGAAAACTTTGAATTCAAACCTGTTTGAATTAGAGTTCTAACTCGTGGTTTTCCCATGGAAATCCCGGCATTCAGTTCAATTGTATTTGAATTAATATGTTACAACCATGAGAATAACGGGCGTCTGAATTAGACTTAAAATGTGTTTGAATTGTAGGCACATTAACTTTGAACTTTGCTTGGATGGAAAGTGGAGATTTACAAAGGTGACAAATTTTCGGCTCTCAATTTTCATATAC